AAAAGAATTACATACAATGTAGGCTACATGTACATGCACAGAGTATCATATGTTGACTTGTGCAAAACTCTCTTTTGCTCCAGTTGCTGACTTTTCTTGCAAGCTCTAACAGTAACTCCCACAGTGGATTAAACTGGCTCAGAATATGGAGAGACAGTCTTAAGCAAGTCTAGACATTAGTCGCTGCAGCGCTCACAGCCTTAAGCTTTACGAGGCTTGCCAGCTGCCAAGCAACAATTGAGTAAGGGCACAGGATGAGCACCTTCTACGACTGTTTCCCCAGAAGAAGCCCATTAAAATTGTAATCGAGACCCAGCACGTGAAGTTTGCCGTGCCCTAAGCTAATACTTGGACTCTTTATGAGGTTTCAAGTTTTTCGGCTCATGTTTGAGGATTGTATCAGTTTGACTGGCGCCCAATAATTGATACTGTCGCATTTCGCCCACGGCCTGTGATTGCACTTCCCAATCTCCCCATGTGACTGCATTCTTACTGATGAAGATTCCTGTATGCTGTGCCAGGGTGTCTTTCCTAAATGAAAATTGGCCAAATCAGCCCAACTTATTGGCTTGGTATCAAGACCAGTGTAAAATTACAAGAGCTCGGCCCTATATACACTGTATGTACCTTTTTCTACATGTACACATATTTTGCCCAATCCCGCAAACCTACTGGTACATGTAGGTGTTGATGGATGTGGTTACAGTGCCAAACGCCATCAATAGAAGAAATTTACAATATAGCATGCCCCTGAAAAATCATCTCCCAACAAACTCTATTACTGGCTCACATGGTGACATCATAACTACATGTACATGTACGCGACACACGCAGGAAAGCATCCAGGGACTGTGAGACTAATGCAAGTCAGGTCTAATGAAATTTTCTCAACAATCTTGGTTTTCCATAAAGTGGCACAATTTGGAAAGATTTGGTTGTGACAGCATGGAGAAGGTACACTCTGTGATGATTTAGTGCTAAATGTAAATGTGATTGCTATATAACAGGTTTGCACTATGTCAACCTTTCTTGAATATACAATGCAGCAGACTCTTAAATTGATTTCTGAGTCCTCTAATGATGGTTCAGCGATTGCGGTACATGTCTTCCCTCAGTGATTTTTCCAAATACATTTGTACAGAAGCAAGAACTTTATATTAACCCTGGAGATCCACATAGCAATTCTGCATGAGCCAAAGACAATTTAATCACTGTGTGTTTGTTCACAACCATTAAATCGTGTGATAACATCAGCTGGTTTTACCAAATGATTTGGTTCATCGTATTAAATTAAATGTTCTTCAAAACCGAAACTCATTTCCTTTCTGTGTCAGGTGAACAATTCCTGAGTTTTCTTACATGTAGGTAGCAAGAAAGTGAAACAGTTTTGAGGGGTTACATTTAAATACTATTTTGCAGAGAAAAACAACAAATACGCATTATTTGGTTCCAATACTACATGTATATACCTATATACTATATAAACTTCCACTATCAAGTGTTACAAATCTACTGTACATGTATACAGGTACATGTACAGGACGTTCACTCTGGCATTTTAAAACAGTACATATACATGTACCGGTACTTGTGCTAGCGTATGACAATTTTTATGACTAAAAGACAAACATCTCTAGCTACAGTACATGTATTCCAAGATGCATGAATCACATTTTCAGGACTCATGCAGAACGTTCAGGTTAGGCATTCTCAACTGGACTACAGTGAAATAATGCAGAGACTTGAAGGAAAGTCTACCTTTGTCGGGTCTCCGGTAACTGCCGTGGATGAGTTTACCGATCCTCAGAACTCTGTGATTGTTAAAGTTGGAATTACAAAAACTATGCAAGCGTGGCAAGTGAACACTAGAGTCACCTATAGAAGAAGCCTCATTCATAAATACTGTACCTCAAACAGTTTCCTTATTCAACAATGTGCAACTTGATCATCTATTAACATTTGATAATGCCCATTGAGGAGCAATAAAGCCCACTGCATAAATCATGCGCTGGCACCTGGATGAGAGACACTTTTAATCGATTCTGATCGGGCAAGAGTCTGTGAGCACGCGGCTCATCACACGCACACCAAGTCCATATAAGGAAATTCTTTTGGACAACTTACAAAAGGAATATACCATAAAATGAACTGGGGTGTTCGAGAAAATAAAAGTAATATTTTTGTACAAAATCGTCGGAAATCCATCACATATAGACTTCTTTTGATTCTCTGACTATTTAAAACAGGTACTTATGAATGGAAATAAATATGTGCTTGCATGGCCAGTCTTAAATTCAGGTTTAAGCCCTACTCCTCAGGAGACTGAATGCCGATAATGCCCAAGCCTGTGGCTCTGGCATTTGTCGCGTCCACTCTCCTTAAGACTAGCAAAGCGCATATTTATTCCCCTTATTTGAAGTTTCCAACTACAGTCCCAAATCTCAAGATGTAAATGGCAGAAGCCAGTATAGAAGGTCAAAATCAAACCAGTCTTGCCAAAAATTGCTGGTCGGGTGGTAAAGGTACAAGAACACAAGTACATGTAGCTGTAGCTGGAGCAAACATATACATGTACACGCTTGTTTTTATGTAATTTTCCCTAATAAATATCCAATCCTGTTAATGAACTTTACATATAGAAAAATTCACATTTAGTGAGGACTGAGGGCTGTTTTTTTTTTGGAATGACGGCCGAGCACCAGTACACGTACATGTAGGAATACATTGGGTGTTGTTCATATTTTCGCTGTGGAGATCTCAGCTAAAGGCTGATCCAACTTACGGCACACTGGTTAATGTACACACTGACAAGTCCCCTTCTGCTGCCAGAAATGTACACAATTTCACTGTTCAAGCACGTCTATAAGCCATTACTGCACCTCTCTCCAACGCATCATGGCAAAAGTCATTTGTTGGTTAAATATTCCAACTGACAGTTGGTGGGTCAACATTCTGGCGGCAGCATGCATCACTCAGAGCAAAGAGGTTGGCAAGGAATGGAAGCAAATCTTTTTCTTCTCTCTGCGTATAAACCACGATAATATCTTCTTGTGCTCCTTTTCTGTCTTTGACTACCTTTTCTTCTGCCCATATTCATACATGTACTTGTACATGAACCTATTCCTAAAAGGGAACAGCAGTTTTCTTTTAGAGGGATGTGCAGACATCTCTTTCAAAAGAAGAGTGGAAGGCTGAAGTCACATGTACATGTAAGTCTAGACAAATTCTTTTAAGAAACCTTTAGTTTAGTACGCTGGCAAGCATACATGTATTAAGTGTTGCTGTGCTTCATTTTTTTTAGTCTTCAGGGTTGAATTTCTCAGTATGTAATGTTTACAAAAATTAGTATTTTCTACGTAAAATATGCACTAATGAAGTACACAACACACCAGAGCCACCCACAAGCTTGTAATGTCAGTCATACAAAATCTTGGCAGGAATTTATGGGAGCTATTCAACATGAGGTTTTTTTTAGTAAGAGTTGACAGCTTAATTGCTTTTTGTTATACGTCATAATTAGGAGTCTGTAAGATTTACAAAGTATGCAGCACACACGCTGTAACAGCAACATGTACAGCAATTATGCTTCATAATAAGAATTCTCAAAACAAATTACATTCAGCATACACTTGGTACCAATGCATTATCAAAGTACATTTACAACTAATACTGGTGAAATGCTGTCAAAAAGAATGGTCTACAGAACACTACAAACTGTCATCTATCAAATGTCAAAAGCTGATTCTATCATCTGCTGTGATAAATGAGAGCATGTTAGGCTGGCAATTCATGAAGACTTTGGCACACCTGTCCTGAACATTTGATAGTTTGAGCAATTAAGACACGGTGATGCACAAGTACACTGTGCCTGTACCGTGCACACATGTACATGTACACATGTACCGTACACACATGGACACAGCGCACACACGCCACAGGCCCTGTTCAACTCAATAACGAAGGAACTGATATCAGTATCCACCGGACTATGACCGCTTGTTATTGGTACTACGTACATCTCCCTTTGGGGAATTTCTCACCACAGATCAAGGGCACATGCGATCAATACAAGCTTTTTTCCTTCTCCAACGGGAATTCCACAATAGACAAAAATGTTTGCATGAATGCATGAATTGCTGCAAGCTGTGTCATATTGGGTTCATACATGTAGAGTCCTATACTGTATCAGAGTTTACAAATCAACTTAAAAAAAATAAATCAAAAAATTTTAAAAACTGCTTTTTACTCCTGATCTGCTCTGCAAATTACAGACATAAAAAGAGGAGGATCCCGTTTTTAAGGAGAAGACATGTCCATTTCTATTTGGCCACTCCCTGAAAACTGCTTTTTGAGTGAAGTAAAAACCATTAATAGTGATACAGGGACAGATAAGCGTTGCACATGCTTGTAGCTCTCAGCTGGTAGAGGAACGCTGTCATGGCCTTAAGATCACAGGTTCAAGTCCCACCACATTCAATTTGTATGGCTGATGATATATTCAATTTAAAGATAACCTAGTCAGTGTCCTGCTGTGGTTCATTCAGTGACCATGGTGACATGAACATTCTGAATGAGGTGACCAACCCATCAAAGAAAAAAAGTGCAATCCAAAATGCTAAGCTTGCTCTTGAAGGAGTGTGTCATTTGAGTACATTTGGTACTTTGAGCCCCAGGGGCTCCAAACTCTTAAAGATCTCAAGAGAGGCTGAGAATTGTCCCACAATCAAAACACATCAAATGCGTGGACATGTAGTATTCAATTTCACAACTGTTAAAACTTGCTTAGAAATTGAAGAATTAATTCAACATAAAGGCACACAAAAACTGACATACTGTAGGTCACCTTAAAAATGTAAATTACTAGTACATGTATCTCAAAGGTAGAGAAAATCTAAAAATAGCTTTTTGAAAAATGCCCTAGGCTAAAAGTGTTGCAGTTAATGTAAGTGAACAATTGCCCTTTTACTGGAGAGAAGGAAGATTGTGAAATTCTGACCTACCTTTTTCCGGTGTCTTGTCAGCTGCTCTGTTGGCCGAGGTACCGTCTTCTTGGTTTTCAGTACTGGAAATCTGCAGAGAAGCAAGGCAAGACGACGTCAATGTCTGGCTTAGTCTCCAAAGCCAGGAATCACTGACGACTGAGCACACTGAGTAGTATCGTGATGGTTAATCTGTATTGGCTCAATAATTGAAGACGTCAGTGGACATCATGAACGAGGAGTGGGAAATGATTTCACGCAATTGTAGACATAAAACAAATTTAATCCCAGTACACTGATGATATGACAGTCTGTGAGCGACATTATCAAGTAACCTCCACGCCAGCAATTACCGCACTTGAAGCCTGAACCATACATAGCTGTTATGAGCTGTGTCCAGGCGATCTGCACTGCATGAGAGTATGCCCACTGCTACGGTCTACCAGAATTTTCAAAAACTGATATACAGTGTACAATGTATGAGAATCCGACAGAGTATTTGACATCCATTACTCCACATGTAGAAGATGAAGGCTTGAGAAAGCACTTCATATTGAAAAAGCCCATAGGAATAAATACAGGCAAAAAAAAAAAGTAAATTTGGAATGTTTTTAATTTAAGGGTTGATCCCTCGCACATGCACAATGCACTTTAAAAAAAAGTCAGCCCATTCAAATGTAACTTTTTATAGGTCCATTTCTGGTACCGTGGTTATCTGGGACATTTTTTCAAACAAATGAATTTGTGAAGGCATGAATTGAACTTCAACATTCAACTCCTCAGGAAGGTAATATCCACTTTTTCCTCTAAACCAAATACATACTGTACATGGGCATGTACATGTACAGTATGTATTTGCAAACAATAAACTTCCTAAATTCTTGAGACTGTAACATGGGTGTACATGTAATCAACCAAAGGCACATTTCTTTTTACATGTACCAGTGCGAGTATTTCAAACAAAGCCTGGGACCACTACATGTACATGTACATGCACACATGAAAAGTGAAAGGAGCTGCAGGGCTATGTCTGGTACATATACAGTACAGGTACACGTCAGTCTTGAATCCATCAAAACCTTCCCAAATAAACCAGCTGATTCATTTTGTAGGATTTGGGGGTACATGTAGTGAGGGGTTCAAGCACAAATTATCAGCTCTTACATGTACATAAGGGTGAACATGTATACACGTATGTATACATGTAATAACCACTGAATAACATCCACCGTTAGTTGAGTGCCCAGAGAGGCAACATTTTACTCCACCAGATGAATTTTGGCCCTCTTCCATTTTGGGTCACACGTTCACTTGTAAATGTCCTGTAACCACCTCCAAAAAAATATAGAAATAATGACAATCTTTGCCAATGCTACATCCCCATTCTGAGAGCTGAGTAAAAACTGGAAAGTTCAAAAAGTTCATGCAACATGTGTACATGTATATCACACAGTATGTATACTACTCTTTCTTACACAAAATGACAACTTATCATATTGGAAGATTTCACAGGATATTTTATACCCAACCAATTCTAACCACAAGTAAGATTTACCCCTCAACAGGTACATGTACAGTAAGTGTACAAACGCTGAGCCTTACGTTGCACAAATGGTTTCACCTCCATCTTACCTACATGTACACACAGTAAGAAAAACTTACCTTAGGAAGAAATAGTTAACATCTCAGAAGTTGGAAATTATGAACATTCAGGCAACTACGGTAATTTACAGATGCAACCCAACACGTTCACTGTCAGATGCAGCATAAGCAGCCTAAATTGTTGGCTGCCTGTCTGACTTCCCTAATCAACAGTGACTCGTATACATAGGAGGGCCCAAAACAAGCAGTAAATGGAATTTCCAATTACTGCTACCAGCATTTAGCAGGCCGTGTGAGCAACAAACTGGGCTCTTCAACATACTTGAGACATATGGGACGGCCGTGCAAGAAGACAATCTGCCATCAGATTGCCATGGCAACCTGCTCTGCCAGTTGTTTCATCCCTCAGTGAGTGACAAAAGAGAGTGTCACAAGTCATACTGCCATACTGCACATGTACTGTAACATGGACGAGTGGGGATTTCACAAGGTGCAAATGGATCAGTCGCAAAAATTAACCCTCAATATAGCTGACATCAAAGTTGGGCTACGGGTGAGATGGGCATGGTGTTGGTATGGCAACTACAAGTGTCACTAAAAATCTTTTACCCCACAATAAATGAAGCAAGTAAACATTTGCTTAGAAATGTTCTCTTACAGTGTATACACAGGGTTGTCTGATTTAAATCACCTTGATTTAAATACCCTATTTAAATCAAATGATTTCTTGAAAAAAATCACTGATTTCAATCAAAATATTTAATTTTGGGGGGTAAAAAGACAAAAACGTTTCAATTTTTGAAATTTTTTGACTGATTGGAAATTTTTGCAGGTTTTGCACATTTTAAACAGCAAATCCCCCCTCTGTGAGCCTTCCACTTCCTAGTATTAAAGAAGTATGAATGGACATGAGTTACACAAAATCTGGATTGGCAAGAATTTTATGTTCATATGTCCACTTGTTTCGATTTAAATCAGCTTTTTGGATTCTGTATTTGATGTGAAGGATTAATAATCATGATTTAATTTTACTTCATTTTAATTGCCTACTTCAGAGTTTAACCATAGAGGAAGGACACAGAAGGAGTTAAACTCTGGCACTTCAAAGTGCTCAATGAGCATTGCCGCCCGGTCAGACAAATAGTAAACATTCCAAAAATGCCTGATTACTGCCTGCAGCTAAGCCGTACAAGTGGGACCAGTAATATCCTGGCAATATTTTGTGTGTTTTGTTTGCAATTAACTACAACTTATCACCATGACCAGGACATAGAGAGCGAAAAATCTACTTTTGTCACCATGAATAAACTTTTTACTTTGATACGCTGCTCCATTATCCATGCAGTGTTTGTAATTTTGTCTCTCCAAAACATCAGATTTTGAAAGTCTTTGTACAAATTTAGCTAAAAATGGCCAACATGTTGACCACCACTGGACAGTTAAGTTCATAACAAAAAAATGCACTATTTCATCACAAGGAGTGCTCAAGAGATCTCATGAAATAACTTATGTATAAATGGCGTATTAAAAATATTCAAATCAAACACAATATCTTGAAAACAACTTGGCTATTCATTCCCAAAATAACTCCAGAAGAAAGCATTCGATAAGGACAATGACTGCACGTGAACATTAAGGGCGCACAGCCTTAAACAAGCAACTGCAACATGCAGTAAATTTGATACTGTTTCCAGATCATACCAAGCACCATTGATGGCATGAATATTCAACTTCCTAAACTGCAGTGCACAACGTTTTAAGGATGCAGACTAAAACAATTGAGGCAATTATCACAGACTGCAAAAGGGGCTTACGGTTGTGAAACAGATGGTGCGTAGCAAGCATTCACTGCGCTCTGGCTATGGACGTAACGGACATGCCAGAAAGCAGTAATTGGCCAGATGTTATAGCCCCGGCAGTTCAAACTCCTTCTGTGTCCTTCCTCCATGGTTTAACATGGTAAAGTATCAGTGTACATGTACATCAACCTTTTACATCTGTACAAGTGTATGTGTATTTTATTGAGATAAGAAATGTTAGTCAATATAATGTTACAACTAAAACCACTAAATTCATGCCCTTAATAAAGTGTTTTTAATCAAGCCTAAGTCACTGCTCTGTGGAGCTGGATCAAAAATAAAATGAGACTGCTTTTTCCACTTTTCCACTTGATTTCTGCAATACACTGAAACTGAATACCCTCAACAGTATTCTAACTATGCAATAAAAGCAGACCTTCAGTGAATTTTTGTCAGTTTCTGTGAGTCCCATACTTTAGATGAGCCATGTCCTTGAAAAAGCACTCAGGAATTCTTGAATAGTTCCTCAATAACTGCAGAGTTATGCATAATGATTGACTGCAAGTTCCAACCTAGAGGTTTTGTAAAACTGACAAAATTAAAAACATACATGTATCAATAGGCCTCTGCCTATCAAACATACATGTACATGTACTGTAATCACTTAGTCAATGAAGTCTACATGAACATGTACGTAAATTACTAGGAAACTGTGAGCAATAGCAATGCACATTTAGAATAAAAGAGCAAAGCAAAGGAAAAATTAAATGCACATGTACATGCTGTCCTTATCATTTGCCTTCCTTCTTCACCACAAATAAGCAGACGAAAACAGATGTACACTGTTTGTGTAACACCTTCCAGGGTCTACTTTCTGCAACCTATCTTTTGTTTTTTGGTTTTACAGTGATTTCTGGGGAGACTGTCTGACAGAGAAAAAAATCCCAGCGAGCACACCATGTAACTACATGTACATGTACCTCAATTTTATCTCAATCTAAATTCTTGATTGAAAAATATTCTCCCAACACATCAGGTACATGTAATCTTGCAACAGTAGACACGTCATAAGCGCATGCTTAACACCAGTATTGAAAATCGAACATTTGATAAAACCTCCTTCCCAGCCTCTTGGGGTGGATATAAATCCAGCTTTTATTACATGTACAGTAGCAAACAACGAAAGGGGAGATAAAAAAATGCCCCTGGATATATTTTTCCTCTAAAAAATGGCAATGTACATGTACCTGTACATGTATATTAAACTGAAGGTAGAGTTCTAAATGAATGTGAGCAGTATACATGTACATGTACCTTCAGAAGCCGGGCAGAAAAGCAGAACACATCCATCTAGACCCCTTTGGGAAAGTTATCCAATTGCCCCTGTGGCAGGTGCATGCATGTACGATTACAAGTGCATTTGGAAGACGCTGCCTATGAACTTTGATTAAAATGTTGTTGGCAGGATGTTCTCTCAGGGCGATGACACTGTTTTGATGCTCGGCAACAGTTCCTGTAAAAGCCCTCTGTTCACAGCACTAAAATATCAAAGGTACATGTACATGTATAAAGAATCAGTTCTGTTTTTTTTTATACAGGAATCTCATATCAGGGCTTGATGAGGAAGAGTATGAAAACTGCATGAATGAAGTTGGAATCTTGTGGAACCTGCTAATAAAACATTAAAACCCAATAATCAAAGAAAGAAATAGAAAACTTGACCAGGTCTGGATAATTATTGTCCCTCCCTGTAAGTACATGTAACTGATCATTGTGCACATATAGATTCATTAAGAATTGCCACACAGATTCACTGAGAAAAATCAAATTTCTTTTTCTTGGTTTTTTTTAAAAACTCCTCTTTTTGGACAGCATGGCCCCCATAGCTCCCCTGGATTCGCCCTTGGCCTCCTTCTATCTTCATTTTACATGTTTGAGCCACTAGCTTCAACATGCAACAACCAGAAATACACGGACCAGTATATAACCTGGTCCCTGTACACGTGGTTTGAAAACTCTCTCATGTGCACATGTAACATACATGTACGGTACATGTATATGTGTTCCAGTGTCTTGTTTCTACATTTAACCCTAACTGCCC